GCCATGGCAGGGGGTCGGACTAGATGATCTGCTCAGGTCCCTTCTGACCCTAGAAACTATGAAACTATGAAAAGACAGGACCTGGGCAAATGTGAAGGGAGACAATCCAAGAAGTGAGAGACCCTAATGCAGGAGGAAGACAATGGCACAGAAAAGGCTGGTATGAGTGATGGAAAAGATTTAGGAGTAAGAGAAAAAAATAAAAGAGAAGCCAAGCAGAAATGAAGTTAGGATAAGCCGAATAATTTTCATAGAAACTGTGAATTTGGTAATTTTTCAAAAAGCATGGGGACCACAAAAAAGCAGGGAAATGACCAGCAAAGGGGGGGGGGGGAAGGAACTGCAAATGGGCGGGAAGCCCTGGTGTCCTAAAGTATGGGAGAGAGGGGAAAAAGGAAGATTTTCAGGGCAGAGCACAGCAGCCCCCCCTCATGCCTCTGATTGGCCAAGGGGCCCTGGAAGTCCCACCCCTCCATGGAGATTGACAGATGACCATCTCCAGGGAAGAGCAGGACTTCCAGATCTCCTTGGCCAATCAGAGGTGTGCAGGGTGGGGGGGTGTCGCAAAAATGGTGTCAGACACTTTGGTTGGCCTCCCTGGGAATTTGAAGGAACTGCAAAGTCAGGTTATCCCCACCACAATTCTCCCCATTCAAAGGCTTTCTTGCAAATGTCTGAGCCAGAAAAATGCTTCCCCTAAATGTCAAAAGAGGTTTCATAGCCCCTATATGCTCCTGCTTCTGTGGCCCACCACAGCAGGAGAGAGAATCAAAGATTTGTGTGGAGACACCACCTAGCTTCAGTATTTTCAACAGAGCGGCATTTTAAGTGCCACATGATGTACCCTATGGGCTTTGTAAAAACAGACTTCTGAAAAATCAGTCATTGATGGAACTTCTGGGAAAGTATTTGAAGGCACAGTTATCTTGATCTGCTTATTTAGAAACATCCACCTAAAACTGACACCAATTCCAGAAAGAAGAATATTTACAAAAATTATCCCCATTTGGTCAGTTCCCTCCCATTCCCCAGTACAGAACTATACATCTTTCCAGGATCTAACTGATATCTTTCTTCTCATACAGTCCAGTAACAAAGAGGGGAGGACAGTGCTGAATATACTCACTGCAATCTGTGGTCAGGAAGTTCATTGTGTTGGAAGCAGGTGAGAGGTCAGGCCATGTGGTTGACACTGAGAAGAATTCTTTCAGGTATTTCTCAGACCAAGTGTTGTTCTCTCTGCCCATCGCTTTATCAACTGTGGAATTTAGCTTATGAACTCCAACATTTTCTGTAGTGGGAAAAGTTGTTCTAGAATTGTCCTGAGAACTAGCTCCAGGGAGCTGGAGATGGGCATGTCGGTCTCTGAAGGTTTGATTTCTTGCAGTAGTAGACAATATGGACGATGGTGAATTGTGATGTTCTTGCCCAGCTGTGCCTATGGAAGCATCTGTAGTAGTAGCCAGGTACTGTGGTACACCAGTAATAGTCTCTCTTGTGGGTTTTTCAGTTAGTACATTTACAGTCTTCCACTGCTCTGTTACCATGGCTGGTGTTCCCATGGTTGTTTCCCTCACCATACCCATTGTGCTATTGTTCCTGCCAAAGCCAATTGAAGAGGCCATGCCCTTTCTCCAAGCTGCTGGAGGAGTTTGGGTGGAAAGATGACTATCTGATGCTTGCATGCCACTTGATGGCAGCCCATGAGGTACATTTAATGTGGTACTTGTATTGGAATGGAGAGGAAAAATTGTTTTCATTTCAGTATTTGCTGAAGTAGTGTACAATGCAGTACTTGTTTCAGGAGGTATATCTGTAATCCTTGATGCACCTGGGGGCATTGTTGCAGTCATAGGGTTTACAATTTCACCTGCAACAATAGTTTCACATGACATGGAAGTTCTAAATCAAGTAAGAAGAACATTATAGCAATCTCTATTTTATTTTATTTATCTGTCAGATCATTTTAATGGAAACAAGACTCATATTTTGCTAATGCCTTTTAGCAAGTATGATACTCAAGACAGGTGTTGACATTATGTTTAGTACTGTGTTGAGTTGTAGAAAGATCCAGATTCAGCTTAGTCTCTCTCTTCAGCCCCAGGCAGATATTACACTTTAGATATAATTAACATGTTAATCATGTATAAGTAGTAGCCCACACACATGGTCATGCAATTAATGGTGTGATAAGATAGGGAATAAGCAACAAAGTTATTACACAAAATATGTATAACTATGACTGGTTCCCATCACACCTTAAACTGCATGTGCAGCCAGCACCAACAGGTCACCTGAGGAAATTGTAGTGAGGGAAGTTTACATTAGATATTAGGAAAAACTCTCTCACTAGGAGGGTAGTAAAACACTGAAACGGATTACACAGAGAGGTGGTGGAATTTCCATCCTTGGGGGTTTTTAAGACAAAGCAAGACAAAAAGCCTTGGCTGGGATGATCTAGTTGGGGATGGTCCTGCTGTGAGCAGGGGGTTGGACTAGATGACATCCTGAGGTCCCTTCCAACCCTCATTTTCTATGATTCCAAGTGCATCAGAGCTCTTCAAGACTGGTGCATTCCCATGGCTGGAAGCGCCAGTCAGCTGATCAGCCCTCCCAGCTATTTCATAGATTTCATAGACATTAGGGCTCGAAGGGACCTCGGGAGATCATCGAGTCCAGCCCCAAGCCCCGACGTCAGGAAGCCAGCTAGCGTCAGAGGATCCCAGCAAGATAAGCGTCCAAACACTTCTTAAAGGGGTCCAGAGGAGGTGCTTGCACCACCTCTGGAGGGAGCCTATTCCAGGCCTTGGGGGCTTGGCCAGTAAAGAAGTTTTTCTTATGTCCAGCCTAAAACAATCTTGGAAGAGTTTGTGACCATAGGACCTCATCATACCTTGGGGCGCTCTGGTGAACAGACATTTCTCCAGATCCTCATGTACACCCCAATGTACTTATAGGCTGCCACCAGGTCACCCCTGAGCCTGCACGTTTCCAGGCTGAAGAGTCCCATGGCTCTTGGCCTCTTTTCATAGGACCTATTCTCTTGCACTCTGATCATGCATGTGGCTCTCCTCTGGACAGTCTCAAGCTTCTCCACATCCTTCTTGAATTGTAGAGCCCAAAATTGGATGCAGTACTCCAGCTGCAGCCTCACCAAGGCTGAGTACAGTGGGAGGGTGACATCCTGAGATTTGCTTAAGAAGCATCAATGGATGCAAGCCAGAGTTTTGTTCACTTTACCAGCTGTGGCATCACATTGATGGCTCATGTTCATCTTGTGGTCAATCATGACCCCCAAGTCTCTTTTGGCAATGGTCCTAGCAAATGTAGCACTGCTGAGCCTATAAGCGTGCTGTGGGATTTTTTTCCCCAAGGTGGAGTACCTTGCATTTGTCAATATTCAGTGTCATCAAGTTTGTATTTTCCCACTTTTTCAGCCTATCCAAGTCAGCCTGGATCACCAGCCTATCCTCAGGTGTGGATGCTCTACCCCAAAGCTTGATGTCACCAGCAAACTTGGCCAGTCCATTACTGACAGCAGTATCCACGTCACTGATAAAGATGTTAATGAGAACAGGTCCAAGGATGTAGCCCTGGGGGACACCACTGGTCATGGAGTGCCATGATGATTCACTTCCATTGACTACCACTGTCTGGGTCCAGCCTCAGAGCCAATTCCCCAGCCATCAGACTATGATGTAGCTGAGGCCGCAGTTGGCCAATTTTTCCAAGAGGAGATCATGGGATACCAGATCAAAGGCTTTTTTAAAGTCCAGATATATGACATCAATCTCTTCTCCCTTGTCCAGGTGATAGGTCACCTGGTCATAGAAGGAGATGAAATTGGTCAGGCAAGACCTATCCACAACAACCCATGCTGGCTGTCTCTCAGGATGTTGCCATCAGCCAGCTTGTGAAGAATGGTCTGTTTGATGATTTTTTCTAAAATCTTTCCAGGGATTGAGGTCAACCTGATTGGCTTGTAGTTCCCTGAATCTACTTTCCTCCCTTTCTTGAAGATGGGCACCACAATGGCCTTCTTTCGGTCTTTGGGTACTTCACCTGAGCACCAGGAGTTTTCGAAAATCTTTGCCAGTGGCTGAGCTATGACTCCTGCCAGCTCCTTAAGTACTTTGGGGTGCAATCTGTCAGGACCTGCTGACTTGAAGATGTCCAGCCTCTCAAGGTGTTCCTTTACAAGGTCTATACCACTGCTGTGTATAAATTCACCCTCACCCTGGCTGCTATGGAGCCAAGGGCTCTGATGTGCTCCCACGTCTGGGAGTGCCAATCAGCTGAACAGAGGTCCCAGACATGGGAGCACCAGGCACCTGGCTTGCTACCTGAGAGTGCAAAGGGAGCAGTAATTATGATCCCAGACTCCCCCTGCACCAGCAATAAGGCATGACTGGGATCTGATTCCTGATTCCACAATCGTGCCTCCTGCCATGCATGTGTGTTATGGCAAGAGATGTGATTGTTGGGATCACAGCCTAGATAACATTAAACCTTTAACTGAATATCTGCCAGTGGCCTTCCAGTCAGCAGAACTTACATTTTCATAGGAAAGGCACTTAGCTCTAGGATTATCAGAAAAGGAGAAAAAGCCTCAGATCGGTCCAGGCCAGGTCACTCTTTTGGCTGATTAAGAAGTGGCATTAGGAGGTTCCACAGGGAGACTTATCCCATGCTTTGTTCCTGGAAAGAGGGTGGTTGGTATCAGAGCCTTGAGTATTTGGTGATATTAGGCCATGCATGCTTTGACTTAGGGATCTCATCTTGCATACAACTGGAAGGCATTGTGCACACTATCCACACTGGGTGAATGTTGAATACTACTAGAAAATAAAGTGGAGGGAGAAAGTCCTTGCCAAATAAATGAAACCGAATACAACTCTCTTGTTCACCTTCACAATTTCTTCCAGGGCGAGACGGATTGGTGTCCATGGTTGTCTTGCATCGGCACCTATAGGAGCCCACTGAATTGATACACTCAGCATACATAGAGCAGTCATTCTCTGAAGGAAATGCACATTCATCCCAATCTGTAATGCCAAAACAAAAATGTCAGTAAAGAAACCCTTCCTCTGATTGGATTACAGACAATCACAAAATGATCCTTCCTGAATATTTTGACTGACTTAAATGGTCTTTACCATTTACCTGACAACCAAATGTTAAGCAGCTCAAAACACTACTTGATTTTGATATCCTTACAGATAAAAATCACATCACATCCATTTATTTCAATGGGCATTCTAGCCAGGAAAGGAATTTTGATCAAGGTTCTCAGATTTACACACAGATTTAGATGTTTGCTTGGCATTAGAAAATAAGATATGTATTTATACAAAGGAAACAGAGAAGCAAATTCATCTAAAGTATACATTCCATTGCATTCAGCTTAACACTGTCTCATGAATTCGTGTATCAGTCGAGCTGCATGCCAGCAGACTCCAACAGGTCAGCTAGATATTTTGGTTACTTTAAGAAAGAAATTGAATCCAATTAATTTCTTAAGTCAATAAAGAGGTCAAATGTAACTGCTGTATATAAGAAGCATTCCCTAACAGCAAGAGGAGGCAGAGCATTTCTACCCTTTGAACTTTTTAAGGGCAGGAGGGAAGTGTTTTTTTTAAACTGTATCAAAGACTGGGGTCACAGCTGCCACCCCTTAAGGCAGTCTCCACAGAAAAACAATGCTGGAAAATGCTCTTATAAGTCTAAAGATAATCCTTCCAGACTTGATTCCAGGCATCCCACTAGGGTAGAATGGAAGAAACTTCCATCACCACTGCCAGTCCTAGAAATCCATTTTGTAGCTAGACACTAAACTTAATTCTCAAGGTTCTCAATCAGGCCTCTTTCGTTAGCACTTGAATCCCAACCCAGCAAACACCTAGACATGAGGTTACCATTATAGATAGGGATCTCCCTAAATCACAGCAGAAGTGCCCCCTGCAGTTACTTTTTTAAATGTTTTTCATGTCACTGCTTGCCCCACCCTCTCCACCACCTGATTGGTGGAGATTTTAAATATGCTGCAGTTTTTGCTTCAAAGGAGATCAGTGGCAAACACCACAGCCAGCAACCAATCAGATGCTGGGGGGGCAAGAGGTGAAAAGAAAAACATTAAAGGAACTACAGCAGGGGGCACTTCCAGTGTGATTTATGGAGATCCCTAAGTATAGGTTAAGTTTAATGCAACTTCTTGCTTGTGTACAGTTCATAGGACCAGAACCTTAATTCACTTGGGATTGAGGGGAAGGAAAAAAGACTAAAAATGCAGTCCGAGATGCAAAACATTCTGATCACAGAGCTGGAAAATTATCTTGCACAAAGCAACACTACAAGCCCTTGTTCTGAATGTGTACAGACAACAGTTACTGCAATTAGTTTTCACTAACAAAGTAAAGTTCTTTTCTAAAAATAGAAAAAGGAAGAGCATGTGCAGGCACATATGTATGTGTGTTCATTATCTTTGTGTCTGCACTTATGCTTTATCTGATATTTCCTTCTAAGTGATGTTTTAATTCTCTATCTTTCATGCTCATTAGCTAATTGCCATATTTTATTTATCCACAGTTGGTGTCTCTTTAGAAGTTGAAATCTAACCCCTTGGACAGGGTATAGAGGTACTACAATTTGCTGTACCAGGAGGCACGAAAGCAGTTCACTGCTGCTTTACCGAGACATGGGGCAACTGTGATTTTTTATTTGTTTTTAAATGCTGGGACAGAGATGTATTCTCCTAAGTAAGAAGGAATTTATGTTCATTATTTGAGAGTTTTCCCTCCATGTGCTTAATATGGCCCTGCGCCCTCCTGGCTTCGAAAGCCTGCTTGCGGGCCACCTTGGCCCGAACAGCAGAGGGTGTACACTCTCTAGCTTCATGGGTTCCCTCAGATGGGCTTCGGTTGTCCCGCTGGCCTTCCCCAAACTCGCCTGCCATGTCTTTGAATGTTACGTCAGGGTGGGGTTCAGCCTCGAAACTCCCCTTGAGGATGACCACTCTGCTTCAGACTAATAGTCTTATTTCCTGATGCAACAGCCACAGCATCCATGTTTACCCCCTGGCTGCTTGTCTGTATGCTCCAGCTCTCTCTTGCCCTTTCTGCTGCAGGCTTCACACCTCAGTCCTACTCCACTCATTTTGTGTGCTCCCTACCTCTTCTCACTCCATCTCCCCCACTGCCCACTCTCCACTTCAGTCTGCTTTTTACTGTCTCCTTTTTTCCTGAATTTTTCCCCTAATTCCACCCTAAGAACTTTTCATTCAAATATATATTTTTTAATTGTTTTCAGGCCACCACTTTGTTCACTCTACTCACACATTATATTTGTGCATGTAAAAGGTGCATACATGCTGTATTCTTAGCCTATTTAGATTGTGTTACCTTCAGGGCAAGTACATTGTACCACATTTATGTTTGAACAGTGCTGAGCACAGTAGGACCCTGTTCTTGCTGAGTCCCTAAATACTGTCCCAGAAAACATAATACAAGTGATGTAAGACTCCAAAGAAAGATGCTTACTGTGCCTCTCCCTTTCATTACACCATCTTGTCTGACTTTTCATCTCTGTTTTTTAAAGGCTGGATTCTCTTGTCCACTGACTTCACTTTGTGATGAACTAAGTGCTTAACCTTTATGGTGATTTGTAGAGGTGTTCACTGTTTTCTAAACTGTGTTAACTGATTCGCGTCACATAGTTCGAATCAAATTTTAATTGGAATTAAAGGTTAATAGATGATCACTGACCATCACAGCAGGGGGCACTGGCTATACACAGTCTTTACACTTGACAGCCCCTTAACAAACCCAATTTGCAGCCTGTGTGTGAGCTTATGCGCTTAGCATTTGCATTAGGAGGCAAAAATAAGCCTGCCTAAGCACTGCTGTATTGTTGCAAACCTACTGACAGTTATCTGAAGTGCTGTTCCAGAAGCCCTAATGAGCACTTTTGAGCAGGGATCCAAGTTTTCTCTGATTTAAAAAAATCCTCCATTTTCAGATTTAAAAAAGGACAGTGGTGTTTCATTTTAAGCATGGAAAAATGTGGATTTGGGGTTACTTTTTAAATCTGAAAATGGGGGATTTTTTTAAATTAGAGAAAATCAGGATCCCCGCTAATGGGTGACTTGAGAGATACTTAGTCACCGTGAGGTATTGTTGTTGACTTTGTAAAAGTTTTACTTTGTGCCGGATAGCCTCAGTTGTATTGGAAAAACCCAGTTGAGTTTCCATTGCTGGGATTGATATTTGCAATGCTTCTCTGCATTCCTAAGGACTGTTTTTTCCTAAAAGCAATGCCATATATACATGTTATTTAATACAGTTTAAATTGCCTAATTTGGACTGCCCTAGTTTGCATTAACTTTAATCCTCATTCAATGAAGTTCATTCAGACTGGAGCCAATTTTACCTTGGACTATAGATGTCCATGTGTATATAATGATGGCTGTAGTCTGAATAAAACCTAGAAAAATGTAATGTCTATACATGGCTTTTGAGGCCAGAACTTCATTTGTTATGAAACTGCATAGCTCTACCAATATAAAAGGGGGATATGCTGATTTATACCGGCTCAGGATAGAGCCCATGATGTTCAGAAATCTGTAAAGGGCTCAGTATTCCTGAAGCAGGAAAACCTTCTATATAAATCTTTTCCCTATGTTGCATATTTCAGTTATATTTTCTGCACTGATAAAACAGATGCTTGCCTCAAGTTAAAAATACATATATGAGCCTTTCTCTTGTCTATAAAAAGCGTATGATGGATGTAGTGCTTATGGATAAGAGTGTTACTTGAGATCTCTTGAATTTTTGAAATTCAGACATTTTTGGAATTTTTGCCTCGCTCATCTGATTTCTTCACGATCACAAGTCCCCTAATCCTTGCAACAAGAGAACAATGGTAATATTTCTAATGCACCTTGGCGCTTCACTTCACAAGACTGTATCTGATGGCAATTTAGTCAGTAATGCTTCATCTGCAGTTTGCTTCTTCATTAATTCCCCTCCTGACAAAATGCTCCACGAGTCTGAAGTGCATTTTTCCTAACAGCATTAAATGAGCTTTTATAGGGTGCATTACACGGTAAAAGAATAATCTAGTTATAATCTAGTTTGCAATCTTTGGCAGATGTTTGAACTCTGGTTCTATCAGCCATGAAACCTGATATCAAAACGTATCCATCTGGTGAGAAAAATGGCAAAAACCATAGCTAAGAGAGGTCCAATACAATTTAAATTCCATGCATATTTCCTGAGTCTTTTTCACTGTAAAGACATTATGGAATTTCTCTGGCTGGATTTCTCAGGAAGATGTAGAATTATGTTTTAAAACATGGGTCAAATGCCAAAAAAAAAAAGGACTAGAAACACAAAGTCTTCCAGATAACACACACATTCTAGGGTTTCAAGTATTCCAAAGTAATCCAACCATGTGCACCAAATTCCTGGCATCCCATGAAAAGGAAGGGCAGAGAGGAAGTAACTGGCCTAACCAGAGTCCTTCTTAGCCCCACTTCAAGACAAAGATGCCATATAAAAAGCAAACGATGCCCATGACCCCATACGTCACCTAGAACCTGAGTGGGCTCAGTGACAATGTACTCCCAGAGGTCCACTCTATAACTAACCTTCTGAAGGGAGGCCCAGTTCATCATTTTCCTTACAATACTATTGCTGTAAGCTTAAGAGTGCTTTTTTCCTCTGTAAAATACTTTTTATAAATCATGCGAGGGATACTATGGATCATCAAAATATTAAGAATATTTTTAAAAGACGACCTACCTCCTACTGAGGAGTTTTGCTGATCAACCAAAAACACTGGACCTTTGTACAGATAAGAAAGCACAGGAGCAAAGCTGGATGCATCTGTTGAAAATTCAGGATCCTGTATGATAACCCTAAGCCTTACTAAGATACTTCCAGCTTTCAGGGATTCAATTTGCACTTTCAGCTTCCCAGTTGCGTACAGTGTGGAAATATTTGGTGGAAATGAGTTTCCAATCTGAGAAAAGGCAACAGCAATACTTTAATCAGGAACACAATGGAAAGAACATGTTTAAAACAACCAATCATTATATTATTACTGTTGTCAATATTTTACACATTATATACACATATACCAACACCCCATTTGCAGAAAATCACCAAGTTCATAAACAGCAAAAAACAAGACATCACTTGAGTCTAAAACATTCACACCAGATGGGAAAGACATACAAGTGAGAGAGAAGACTATAGCATGGATACCTTTGGTATATCGTGACGTTTCAGAATCATAACTGCCTCTCAATGTAAGTGTCATTGCTGTCAAACACTAATGGAGTTTCTAAAGTCTAATTTTCCTGTGCAGTAAGTCATTTCTCTGGCACTTTATGCCCAATTTAAGGCCTATTTACTCTGCCACAACAATGTAGAATGACTGAAATGTTAAAAAGACTCAGGACATAAAAAAAGTGCAAAGTCAATATAGATGCTCATTATAGCTGAAACAGATCATTGAGTATTTCAGATTCTGAGCTAGCTCCTTAGCCCCAAAAAGAAAATTAGCCTCAGACTTGGTTTATGTAGCTTAGTTGGGGATTCCCCAAGCATATGGAAATGCCTAGTACTACGGATTCAGTATTACCAGTTAATTCACATAGCCACCCAGTCCTTATACTGTTATACTTTACAGCGGGGGTGTCAAACTCATCTGGTCCCTGAGATCAGACCCACAGACTGGTCCCATGCACCACAGCCAGTCTGGAGAGCCAGTTTGGCACAAGTACCTCATGCAGCATGTGCCCCTGACCAGCCCTGCATGTTGCATGCAGTGTGCACTAGCCCTGATCTGACCAGCCCTGTGCCCTGGCTCTGGTGCATGGAGCCAGTCTGTGAACCCCAGACCAGCCCCAGACCACCAAGGCACCACATGCAGCACACACCCTGGATTGGCTCCCATTGCTGTATGCAGTGTGCATGGCAAGTCCAGCCCTGCATGCCGCATGCAACATGTGCCAGCCCTGGTCCTGCTATATAGGGCACATGCTGCATGCTAAATTTTTCAAGGAACCAGCCTGCAGGGCTGATCCAGTGCAGGTGCCACATGCAGCACACACCAAACTAGCTCTGTGCACCACCTGCAGCACGTGTGGCCTCAGCCAGCGCATGCTGCATGCAACACACAAGGTTGGTTCAAAACCTACGGGCCAGATCCTCAGGGTCCATGGACCAGATCCAAACTACAGGCTTATTTGACACACCTGATTTCAAGCCCTGACTCCCATTTTCAAATGTCACTCTGGCACTTCAGAGTTTAAGGAGTTTCAGTGACACTTGGACATAGAAATAACTGGTGAAAATACGACTCAGACGAACTTTTGAAAACTAAGATTTTGAAAACTTTACCTGAAAGGAACTGAAGCTGTGGACTAAATTTAGCCATGACTCAACTGATCAGAATTCCATTTTAATTAGAATTCCAATTCTAATTTCATTACAGTTGCATTTGCTTTCACCTAGGCTGAATTTGGCCCAAAAGCATCACATACATTAAAAGGGTAATGCTAATGAGGTACAATTCTCTCTCTCTCATCTGCTGATTTTGTCCCAAGTTCATCTCTTCAGCTCTAAGTGAACACTCACAGGCTACCATTGTTTGAAACATATTGTTCCAACTTAATTGTAGTTGAATCCAATTACAAAGAAATCTCAAGACAGAGACACAAGAAAAATGGATCAAAGAAATGGAGACTTATATACATTTATTTTCTTTGTGTTACTTGAAATAACACTGACACCACCAATAAATTATGCTTTACTAGCAATCAGCTAAATAGATCTATGTATTGTGCTGGTGGAATTACAGCCGTCAGCAAGCCAGAGCATGGTGATGAGGTGCACGCTGGGGGTCACACCAAGCTATTGACTCCATAAATTTGTAAGCTTGGGCCCACAGAGTGGAGTGAACAGGCAAAGCTTATTTTTCAGTGGTATGACAGGTCTCATTCAGGAAGCAATGAAGACAAAGGCTGTGTACACATACTCAAATGACCTGGGAGAAGTCTCTGGAGTTGTTCTCCACATAGAAAAGCTTATCCGGAGATGCCTGATCAGACATTCGAATACAAAGCCAATGAAGAGCAGAGAGAGCTGCACTGCTGATGCTGTGAAGCCAGGTGGCCTGTGCACACACCTCAATGTGCTCTGCTGTCTACCTGGCAACAGATGGCAGCAATGCACAATGTAGCCCTGAATGGCTGACCTAGACTGCTTAGAATCAGTCTGTGTCTCTGTACAGCACAAGGTGGAATTGCATGTTTTTCTCCCTTCTCAGCTGGAGTAGCAAAGTCCAACCTGAGTGACACACTGTCTACCTGGGGGAGAGAAGGGGGAAGGGCAGGAGGAAAGTACCTTGGGATGTTGTGCTGTGACTGTTCTCAGAAGGGTAACTGGTACAGACACTCGCCCAGGAGAAACTCCTGGGAGAGCAGCAACTCTCTCTGGAGAAACTGAATGTTTGTATGTGACCTAATAGCCTGTGGCTTGGTGTTGCACTGAAAATATGTTTTTACTTGAGTAAATAGATACACCCATGGAAAATGGCCTCTACCACATACATGGTCTACTGGGGCATTTATACACGTACCTTTGCTTGTTCCAATGTGCCAAGAGTCCAGTGTCTCAGAGCAGACTTGATTCATCAAGTCTGCGGAGCACGCAAGCTGATGTGCCCAGCGCTGCATCACATGCATTTGTATGAATGGCAAAATACACATCAGTGCACAGAAAATAGCACTGGTGCACTTTTTAACCTAAAACACCTTCAATGTGTGTTAGTTCAAAAGTGCACTGCTGCCATTTTCTCAGTGCTGATGCACATTTTGCTTTTTCTACAAATGCCATTGATGGCTACAGAAAACTTTATATTATTTTTCAGTAGAAAGTTACCCATTTTTCATGAGCAAGTGTCCAACTGGGTGGAGACACAGCTGTTGTGCCTTCTTTTGAAAATGTGACCCACGATAAGCTGTCTTTTTTATCCTTATAATCATAAATGGATCTACATCACCTTGACTGTGGGGAAATTCTGGGCTTGGATTATGAGCTTAACTTCATAATCTGGGCCCGATTCAATAAAATGGATTAGAAGCAGAAGGCCATATTTGAAACTCCCTGTGCTTTAGAGAACTTCTCATCGGATTCCAAATTTCATGATACAAGTTGATTTATTTCATCAATCATGATTGCTGAATCAGTACAGACTGGACATGTCTACATGTGCCCCTGACTATGCATTTGGTACTACGTGGTCATGTAGTACTGGCAGGTACCGCACAGTCATTTAATACTTGCTTCAGTACTCACTGCTATGGCGACGTAGTATCTAAGAATAACCATGCACCACAGGGACAGTGGAGTACTGGGGAGGGTACTGCACAATCATTTAGTACTTGCTTTAGCTACAGGTTTAACCAAAGCAAGTACTAAATGACTGTGCACTGCAGTACCCCCTGGTACTGTGCAGTATCTGCTGGTATTTGGTACTGCGCATTTAGTACTTGCTTTAGCAAATACTAAATGACTGTGCAGTACCTGCCAGTACTGCACAGTCCCAGCAGAGCATGGTTATTTTTAGACACTATGTTGCCATAGCAATGAGCTACAGTGATGTAGCTCATTGCTACAGCGACATAGCATCTCATGTATATACACACACAGGGTATAGTATGTCCATACCTAATGAATGAAGTTATAGAAAAATCCAGACCAGTCACTTTTTGAAGGATAAAGAGCTCCAATAACAAGTAAAACTTGGTTAAAAAAGGGATCACACAGTGAATACAATGCCACTTGAACATGTCAAAGATTCATTAAAAATCCTCACATCAGCTTATTGGAAATTAATAATTACACTAAAAATCTTCCAGGAAGAAGTCCATCCACCTCCCTGTTTTTAATTCACTCCTCTGAAAGGTAAAACTCTCACTGGCTTCAGTGATAAGAAGGTCAGTGCCTAAGTTGGCGTTCTTTTGTCCTATAACTTTTGTTTCAGTCAAATGAAAGTCAGAGAAAATGGTGCAAGGATTTCTAATGGTTACTGTGCGTGTATAAAGCTTCCCCATTACACTAAATTAATCCTATATAGAAAGACTACGCACACAGAGTTTAGTGTTACCTCAGTAAGCAGCAATCTTGAAAATTCTTGATATTCCAAGCTACTAGTGTTGTGGAGCTGTTCAGTGAGGTTATAGTTCAGGATCCTTATTGTAATCCCAAATATCTGGGCATCTATAAGACACATTAAAATAGTGATAGTGCAAAAGAGAAAATGGTTTGATCAAACCTGATGGACCCATATCAACATCTCAGATCTGGGCTACTGTCCAAAGCCAAATTGAGAGAAAAGCCTTAGTGGCATAAATCAGTGTAGCTTCATTAAAATTAAAAGACCTACTTTGACCAACACCAGCTAATTCTTCAATATTCCACCAGGGGTGAATTTTCTCCCTTGCCCTTGCTAGTGATTAACTTTTACCTTGACACATCGGGTTGGTTAGCTAACAGAAGTGTAGGTTCTGATCTGATTCAGACAAGGAAATCATATCTTGCTTACATGGGAACCAAACAGCCTTATAAATTTAAAACAAGGGGCTTGTAACATTAGTCAAGTGTATGAAACTCTGTAATACACATAGGCATAGGAGGGCAGCTCCATGCCTGGGGCAACCACAATGTACAGAGCAGCATCAGCTGATAGCCACAGTTACTTTTGTGCCCTGCCCTGCAACAAAAATGGTACCTGGAAATACTGCCCCGGTCACATCCCGCCTCAGTTAGTCTACTGGTAATACAACACAGCCTCTGCAAGCGTCCTTACACAGCTCTTGTCCATTAGCCCCAACTTGTCAAACACAAGCTCATCAAAATCTGGCCTTCACCTACTCAGTCTCTTTCTTTGTGGTATTCTGAGAAAAGCCCTTAATCGATAACCTTGAGTATATCACTAGAGTTCATCCCTCAATCTAGCTATATAAACAAGAAAAAGCAGGGTGACCCTCAAAATTCATGGGAAATATGCTGTGTATCAATGGCAGCTGAATGTGCTGCCAAGCTGTAACTCCACACAATCTACATTAGATTTATGTCTCTAGTTGTCTGAGTCAGCACCAAGCAAATGCACCGCTTAATCAACTGCATAACGAACGACCTACACCACTCAGAATATGCCCTGCTCATCTGATTGTCTGTATTGAACTGGCATTGGCTTAACAGAAGAAGAGTGTTTTGAAAAAAAAGATGGAAATGAGTGTTGAGGGGATAATGGAGTATCATTAAAGCACAGAAAATGGGAACAGAAAGAAATGGAATATCTCAAATCGGATACTTACTAGTTTTAGCACTTTGCTGGGAGATGATGGTTTTTCCACAAGTTTCATAGCTTATCTTCACCAAATACATTATACCTGCTTCCAAGTCAGACACATCCACTCTCATTTCTGTAGTTGCTATGCTTTTGAAGATATCTTTGCCCTTGAAAACTTCAGCTTGGAAAGTGTGATTCAGAGTGGAATTCACACTCCAGGATACTTCAAAACTGCTACTAGTAACACTGAAGATTCTGTGGTTTCTAATTGCAGAAGAATCTATAGTAATATTGGGGAGACTCATCAAAAGAGAAAGGAACATTTTGTCCAAGGAAACAAATCCAAAATGCTTCTTTTATGATCAATAAGGTAAAATTGCTCTTTGCAATATACAAAGCCAGATTCTGCCACCCCTGCACTGAGTCAACCTTTGTGCCCTAAGTGGCTCAATTGAAGCAATTAGTTATATACATTTATAACTAATGTAACAGTTATTATTTGTTTTCCATTTGCCACTAGCACTTGTGACTGATTTACAGTAATACAAATACCTATTCTGATAGTGATGGGATTACTCATCATAAGTAAGGATGCAGAGTTATGAATCCATCAAGACAAGCCTTCACTGCCCATGGAATAACGATTATATATAAAATATGTATAAATGTTTTGTATTTGTATTGGTTTATTTATCAGACAAATGCTGTCCTGACTTATACCTGAAGTCACACCACTAATTTCAGTGATATAAGCAAGAGAAGAATATGGATTCATTCTCTTTAGCAAACACTCAGGACTAAATTGGAGAATGTGGCATCAAGAAACCATAATTTCTGTTCTTCTTTTTAAAGCTGATTGAGCTTCTTCAGAAAAAAAAGGAATAAAAATTTCTTAAAAACAGGTCTGTTTCAACAAAACAGATATAGTCCCAATCTCCTGAGATAGTTGCCTACTCGGTAAGTCCTAAGGACTGGAGATACAGGGCCTTTGTACACACCACAAAATTGGCCTTTAAAGTGGTTTAAATGCCCTTTTGCACCACTTTAATGGTGCGGCTGTTTACACTGTCAGCAGCATAATGCACCTTAATGGTGTGGCTGTTTATACTGTCGGCATACTGCACAATAAATGGGATAAACACAGCAAAATAAAACACTTCCAAGGTGTTTTAGTTTGCTAGGTTACAGCCGCGGAGGGAAGCACTGGGCCCTGTGGGCCCTGTGGGCTCAGGGGCTGTACAGGAAGCCTATGCAGGCAGCCCAGCCGCAGCTCATGCAGGCAGGCTCAACTGAAGGAAAATAAATAAATAAAAAAGCAGTGAGCCTGATCTTTTTTTTTTCCCTCCCCGAAGCCTGCCTGCCTACCTGAGCTGCACGAGGGCCTGGTGCTCCCCTCCATGGCTGCAGGCGGCCGGTGCTTCCCACCACAGCTGCGGTGCCCCCAGGACCACCTGGGCTGGGTGCCTGCGGGTGGGCTCAGAGAGAAGCACCAGCCCCCTTGTAGCTTAGGGACCACTCGGCCTGCCAGCAGCTCACCCTCCCCTCCCCACCACCAGAGAGGCAGGTAAGGATCAGGCCCAACCCTTTTGTACATGCCACAGGGATTTACTTCAGTTTAATTCTCCCTAAATTGAAGCAGTTTATGAAAGCAGTGTCTAGCCATGGATATTTTGGAACTTAAATGTTCCAGTACTTAAATAGCCATATTTGTTAGCTCAATCATATTAAAAAATGACAGGATCCAAAAACGTGCTCTAAATATTAGGTAGCTATTTCAGTATAGCAATTAGTGGACTAGAAATACTCATCTGACTTGCAACACGTCTATAAAATAGAAAGCATTTTGAAAACATCGCTTCAATTTAGGGAGAATTAAATCCCTGTGGCATGTACAAACAGCCATATCTACTTTTCTAAAATAACTTTAATTTAAACCCTCTGGTTGAGGGTTTAAAGGTGAGGATGAAGACAGGAGTCAAAAGCAGTGAACATCTTAGTGATTTGGACAAAAGCTGACTTTATAACCTTTCGATCTCATAAGAAAAATGGAAAGAGTTTGTCCATGGGATATTTCTTAAGTAAGGGAATTAAACTAGGGTATACAATGGTTAATCTCTTGGGGCTCTTTGTTACTGTTCTCCATCAGATGTCACTGTAGATATCATAACTCAATCATTTTCAGGACAGAAGGGAAGGAACAAGTGATGAAACTCAATGTTACTTACAGCATTCTGAATCAGTAGAGTTCTCAGATTTTGGCAGGACAATTGTTGAATTATCTAGAGAGGCAGAACTATTGCTAGCACTAACTGGATCCAAAGCTGATCTTGAAGTACACTCTATCATGTCTAGGAAAAAAGGAAATTAATAAGCAAAACAAATTATCTAGTAAGACATATCCAAAATAAAAATAATCTACATATTCAAAAGCTTATAAGCCTTCAGACTAAACTAGTTCAACATGCATAATATAATATTTTCCCTCTTTCCATTGATACCTTAAAACTATCTTAAATCTCAAAGGATAACAAAGCTGTTTGCTAAGGCCCTGCTAACTAATTCACCTGCTTAATGCACACAGTTCAGCTGAAATCTGTGGGCTTCTATACAGATGCCTAAATGTTTTGTTGCATTGGTTCCAGGAAGAAACGTTGACAGTGGAAGATTTGACCTTAGAAATTCCCAGGAGTTGAAGCTAAGGTTTTGGCAGATGGACTGGGGGCAGCTAAGTTTTTAGGCAATAGGAATGTACAAGAGATAGTTGGGAATGTGAGATGAGGACAGGGATGTAAAATGATTAGCAGCAAAGCAGCAAACTTCCAGCTCCTTTGCAATCCACCAATGACAACTCAAGAGAGAACAGAGAAAAACTGTGCTGCAAAAAATCATGGCTTGCAAATGGCTTCTGATGGTGTGTTAGAACATCCCCCACATGGGTGCTCACCACGTCTGGGGGGAAAAAACGGAAAATTAAACCCATGTTTCCTACCTTTACATCCTCCACTCAGATGGCTAGAGTTTGCGTCCACATGTTCATGCTCGCATGTACAACTGTAAAAACCTTCCACATTCCTGCAAAGTTCTTTTCTGGGACATGCATTGAGTTCAACATAGGAACATTCATTTACATCTAAGGAGAGGAATTCAATTTAGGATGGAATTTACAGGTATCCTAAGAGCAGTATTTAGATTCATCACATGTAAATCCAGACTATGAACCCAACTATGCAAGTGTGAACCTGAAGTAACCCTACCTTTGCGTAGGAGTAACTGAAATAAAAAACTGAGCTACGAGCAATTGAAAAACCCCTACTTTGAAAGTGTTGTTTTTCATTCTCAAGGCTAATTCCACAATGAAGCAATTTTCTATATAAATTATGCAAGGATGTTTGACTTTGGAGAGTGTTCATGGCTTGTGTCTAATTCAGTGCCCATTATAGAGGAAGCAAAATAATTGAGGAATAGAGGAATGCTAGTTTCAGTTGAATCTCTTTCCTGCCTCTCTCTTGCCTCTGCATCCAGAGATCCCATTGCACAGCTGTGTTCTCCGTGAAGTTCTTGGCACTCACAAGAACTTCATGGAGGAAAGGAAAATGCACTTTCTTGTCATCACTTCCATGCCCCATGGTTTGGCCATGAAGGAGAGTGCGTGCCTGCAACATAGACCTTCATTATTAGTACTTTCCTAGCACCAGCTCTGATCCAATTCTACCGCTTCCAGATCTATTCTATTTATATGACCTCAAGATTATTTGACAAACTTGACAATTAGTGTAGCCCTTTCTTACAATTCTAGGGCATAGTTTTACACTTACTAAAACTGCTGAAGATCCTTGCATTGAGTTCTGTAGTAGTTAGACTGAGTCTTCACAGATAAGCAAGCATTATTCTTTTAGGGGGCAGTTTATGAAAGCAGTGTCTAGCCATGAATATTTTGGAGCTTAAATGTTCCAGTATTTAAATAGCCATATTTGTTAGCTCAATCATATTAAAAAATGACAGGATCCAAAAACGTGCTCTAAATATTAGGTAGCTATTTCAGTATAGCAATTAGTGGACTAAAAATACTCATCTGACTTGCAACACATCTATAAAATAGAAAGCATGTCTGTTTTCCAAGTGTACCTTGACATTTTTATTAAAGAATAATAAACTATAATATATTTACTATTTTGCCCCTAATTCAGGAAAATATGTCTCTATATTTAAAATAAACATAAAGACATGCTACATTATTATGAAATTGTATTGTTTCTTGAACAACCAAGAACATTCCCCACCAAAATACTAATATCCAAAATACTACTAATTATAAACTTATTTTGCTCTCAAGTGGGTGTTTTAGACACGCCTATTTAAAAATTTCCACCATATAGTTCTCATGAAAATCAATGGGACACAAGAATAACATCACTGAAAAAGGTCCCCAAAGGACATTGTCATACTAAACAATCACCTTGTACATCTACATCGATAACTTCATACACACGCTTCATAATGTCTTTCAGCAAAGAAGAAATTGTCATTAGTGAAGCTGGTTGATATAATCCAATGAGAATATGAGATATTACTGTTCCAGAGTATGTATCTGCGTGAGCAGTCTGGATGTGGTACACTGAAGAATGAAAGGGCTGTAGTGCACCAGTCATCTGTTAAAAAAAAGATGAACACGTTTTTGGTTTCTTTAGCAGTATAACTGAATAACATCCTAATAATTAATACTAAACTAAGAAAAGCAAGAACTGTTTCAGACTTAAAAATTTAGGCAATATGCAACATTCCAGCTTGTCTTATTTCAGAGAAAAAGAAACAGGATGTGAAGAAAATTCTTGAGACCTTTTTAGGAGGATGCATTGAAATAGGGACCTGGAGTTTGGCAAGGAGGTGGCCTCTGTGTCAGGAATGTGTTAGCTGTTGTTCCTGCAAAAATCTACCCAAGTTTGACTAAAGTAAAAGCCTTTTAATAATTTGAATTTGCATAAACATGGTAGAAACCACTTACACTCAATTTAAGCAAAATCTCTGAAAATTCCATATTTAGCTTCAGCTTCTAACAGCTTCCCATTCTGTGTGCACACTGTCCCCACAAAGTAAGTGATCTTTTGCATGGGCTCACTAGGACTTTTCCTGTAACTGGAAGTCTCAGTTGTGTCATTCTGGGGCCGAGCATCAGAAACTTTAACTAGATATTGACAACACAAGTCTATGACTAATTGTGCAAGGTAGCCTGCACTGACAGTCAGAAGAAGACACTGGGACTGGCTGGGCAAAGGAACTGGAGTTGAGAGTCAAGGGGTAGACAGAGATGGCTGACTTTGGCTGGGCAAGAAAAGGGGGATTAGATTCTGTAAGAGAGATAAGAACAGGGAAAACACATCTCATGAAAAACAGTTACACAGGAATCTATATCTTGCCATTTCTTAACTTTTGAGCACTTGACTTTGCAATATTAATTTTCCTTTATCCTATTCTTAGGGTGTAATTGTTATCTATAATGCATGTACTATAGGTGCTCTGCAAGCTAGGTTGGTGTCCATAAGACATTACAACTTGGCTGATCATCACAGAGATGAGGTACTGGTATGCAGTGTAGTGAAAAAAACAGTTTCTGTTTGATGTGGCTTCTTGTAGCTAAGTTATTTAATATATACTCCCCTATTACTGTCCTCTACTGGTTAGCCTACTCTTAAGAAGAAAATAAGGATTGGCAGTCTTTAATTTTATTAGGATATAATGCATGAGAGTCTAGGTTCATAGGAAAACCCTGTGTTATATGTATATGTAGATATATATATATGTGTGTGTGTATATATAAGTATATACATACGTGTGTGTGTGTGTGTATATGTGTATATATATGTGCGTGTGTATATACACACACACACATATATACATACATATACACACACATAGAAAGATAGATAGATAGATAGATAGATATACATACATACATACATACACACACACACACACACACTGCTCAGCTACAATGTGCAGAAGACATTAGTGATGAGGGGAAATAAAAGCATGCACAAACTGGTAGTTAAAATAAATTGTGTTGGATATTTTTGGCAAAGTGGGAAAGCCTATTTTATTTGGATTTTGCCCTTAAACTTTCACTAATAATTACAAATTGGTAAATCTTGGGGCAGGGGAGAAAAAAAAACTTTGATTTTATCCAAATACACTTCTCAAAACCTTGATGCCTATCTAGACTCCCTGGGCACATCCAGATGAGCGCGTATGTGCCTCTTGCCCTGTCTCAAACCCCTTTGAGATGGGTCAAGAGGCACATGTGGGAACGAAAAAACGTTCCCCATGCTGCAAGTTTGCAGCGCGTGGGTGAAATTAGACCCCTGGATATCCAGAGATCAAAAAAAAACAGTTAAAAAAGTGGGGCAGGAGACCATGCCCTGAGGCAACTGGAGGCTGGGTCCTCCACAAAACCACTCTGGCTGCCAGAGCATCTCTGTGGTTGGCCCTTGCCCTGGTGCCGAAGCACACTGCCTGCCAGGTAGCGTGCTTCAGCAGTAAGGCTCCAATGCTGATAAGTAAGGGCTTGGGGGAGGAGACTATG